GATTTCCATCTTTGCTGACTATGCTTCCCAGATATGTGAAGTGGTCAGTTTCTTTGATGTTCTCTCCCTGTAGATGGATCAGAGATTCTGTTTATTGTTAATTTGCATATTTTCTGTCTTTGTCTTGTTTTATCCTCAGGCCAGTCTTAGCTGCCTCTTCACAGAGTCGTGTTAGTTTTGACTGCATGTGTTGGTGCTGATGGGACAAGAGGCTGAGGCCTATTTTAGAGTAACGCAACATATTTAAAAGCCTGTTCCCTATTACAAGACAATGCTAACCTTAGCAATCAACCACTTCTGAGCTAATATTATGTTAGCAAGGTATTACATTCTTCACTAACAGTACTTTAACTAAGAATCAGTGTTTTTACTATTTGATTATGTGAGACTATAAAACAGTAAGTTTAGCAATCAGTCACTATATATCTTATATGAGCTACTAATTGGCTAAATGCTAACTGAACTGTTGTGTGACCGTAGCAAAGCAGTTATCAAAATGTTGTTTTAAATGTGAAGTGTCCCTCATGTCTTCTCATTAGGCATGGTCTTTTCAGTTGCTGCCAAGAAGCGTTGAAATTATAATGATTTGTCTTATTTACTAAATGAATGTGACTAAAAACCTGGAACACCAGTCTACAATCATCCCAAACATGACAGAGAAAAATAGATGCTGTGTGAATATGGTCAACCAGTCAAGCCCCTAAGTGTCCCGTTCTTCATCATCATTTTTTCTCTTCTTTTAGACCATGATTTAAAAGATGAATGTCATTCCACATCATATAGCCTATGTATAAGGAAAATGTTTATTGATATGATAAATCACCTAAGATATAGGGATATTTTCTCATAGACTTCCATCAGTCTATATAATTGCGGTTATTGTAGTTTTAAAGCACTTTTTGACCTTGCTCTGTGAATGATGCTATACCAAATTAACTTTACTTACTTACTTACTTACCAACAATAACACATTTTTTGCATTCAATGGTTGCCCCCTAAAGGCCATGAGAATAATACAGGTTAAAGGTGCTTCTGCATTGGCTATACCATTTAAAATTGTGGGCTTTGTGCTCTTTTTTAAACGTATGTCTGCGGTTTAACAACATATTGTTGGGGAGATTTATTAGATTTAACTGCTGTCATCATTCTCAGCTTCACATTAACTTGTTGAATAAAGTGTGTGACAAATACTAGGGTAAGACTTTCTGTCCTCTACACACACACACACACACACACACACACACACACACCTCAGTTCATTGTAGTGCAGAAACAACAGTCAACACAGAATAAAAAAACGGCTACCAAGATATTTTTACACTTGACAGAATATCTAAAATAAGTGCTCATGGCTGAGTTGTTCCTCCTCGAACGTGGCATGAAAACAGTTAGTATTTTGACAACAGAGTGAGCCATTTATAGTCACATCGTAGTACAACATGCAGATGCTCCACTGAGCTCCTGTACGTCTTCATCTGTTCAGCGTACCCAGGGTTTCCTCGCTACCATTACATAATGAAATTGTATCTTTGCCTTTTACTCCCCCTTAACAACTCTCCATCTCCAAAGCAACAGTCGTCCATGCTTCAGAGGAGTGATGTTGGATCAAATGGCTGTTCTGTGTTTCGTTAAATTTTCATAAGTTCTGCATCTGTGCCTATCTTTGGTATATTTAACATAAAAGCTCTCGGGCTATTTATGTCCTTGGGGGGATGTTGTGCTGTCTCTGTCTGAATCTGAAAATCAGTGCACAGTTGAATGCATCGATTCAGAGAGCTTGTTTCAAAGCAGGATCATCACAGCACAGCAGAAGTAGTTTGTCCCATTCTGGTATCCCCATTTTTTACAGGTGTTTAGGTCCTACATCATCACAATTTTCAGCTACAAATGAACTGTTTTGTTTATTTTTATCTCTGATATTTGTCTACTTTCATTATCTGTGCACTTCTCTCAGTGACGAGGACTTAAAAAAGAAGAAATGGGATAATTATTTCTTGAACAAAACTCTCAGAAGTCAGAATCTGATTTTTGTTTGGTCTCTGATAAAAATATTAAACATGTCACATGTTAACCTCCTGTCTAACTTCATAAAAAACATTCATTAAGAAGGTGTGCAGGGTCCTTCTGATAAAATAAATGTTAACACAAACACTCTGGTTCTGTCAATGGACTTCCCATACATTGCCTTTTTACCTAAAAGCAATGCAAACTCTTAATCTACATTACAAGAAACAACACTACAATAAAAGGGAATCTTTTAATGGTTCATATGGATGTGCAATCATTGCTGGTAGTGAATATCATTTGGGTGAGTCAGCAGTTCCAAGATGCATTGCCCATGAGCATCTGTAGCCTCGCTCTACTACATTTCTTCCAAGCGGTAACCTCCGATGTTGAAAATGAAGCCAAAACAGAAGTGTCAAATCCTGCAGTTCGTCGAGTGTCCGCTTAAGGCTGGCTGCAGAAGCACTGGAAGTCATATACACACCACATTTTAAAAAAGCCAGTTTTTACAGCAGAATTTAAGATGTTTATAGCCTGGTTAAAAAAACAAAATAGGTATTTTTAGCCCATGCCTCAATCGGCACACACTGTACAGGGGGGTGGATTATTTATAACTCATCAGTTATGATTTCATGAAGGATAAGCATTACTCAAAACAAGGAACGACCTGAGTGACAGGCGGTGCAATGTAATGGTTTGTCAAGAGGCTTAAAACCAGTCTCTAGGTAAAATCTGTCTTCCAGCTCTTTGCCTGTTGTAGGTTGACTGAAAGTGAGGGTGAGACAGCATTTCAAGGATTGCGACAGCCACCGATGGGACTCCAAAGCCCCCTGCAGTGACAGATGGTTGACGTCACTCTTACAGTAGTCCCATAATATTTACACTCAATGATTTCTTCAAACATTTAATAGATTGTTGAAAAACTGTTGAAAAACAGCAAGTTTGCCAAAAGGCTCTTAAACACTATCTAGTCAATAAAATACTCTGCAGCTTACGAGCATTTTCACTGTTCAATGCATGATTTCATCACTAGTTCACAATGACTACAGACGAAGACTAAAAAATAATAAAAGATGATGAAGTAGCCTGTTGTTCTCTGTAGCCACCATATATGAAAACTAATGAAACAACAAATGTTTTAGCTGCACCAGAGAGACTGAGAGCATCATGAAGCAACATTTTCATACTGCCTTATTCAAAGAGATGAAAATAACATAGGAATTTACTTTTAAATATAAGTAAGAACTAACTAAAGGGTCAATTACTTTCCCCTGTTTGTGGGGCAAATAGAAGGATAGAATATATACTTTATCGCCAGGTGAATACAGTCTGTTAACTTTTCGCAGTGATATTTACTGTGAACCAATAGGAATCCAAAGTTTAAAAAGTAACTGTCAGCCATACACACCCAATCATACCAGACCACAAATTACTATATAAGCGGAGACGTCAGGCTAAATAGCAGCTAGGTATTCTTTTATTTATAAATGTAACTTTTAATTTCCAATATTAAAGGATTGTGTTAATTTTTGATTTATTTCTCCTTTGAAAAACTTACATGAACCTGTCTTAATAAATAATATCCTGTCAGCCTGAATAGTAACATCTTGAATGTTAAAGTGTTGCCTGATTGATGATTATTTAAACATGCACTTTTAATATTAATATTATTCAAATGAAAGTTTTCTGAGGTTTTAAAAAATGGTTTGGATATTGAAGTTGTTTTATCAGAGTCTCTGACACACGACAGCAGGAATGAAGCTAAAAGACGTACTCCTGTTCCCAAAAAAAATCAGGCTTGACCTCAATCTCTGCACCTTGTTATCTCTCTTAAAATGTCAAGCACCTGAATATGCTGATCAAGGCATGAAAGTACTTATATATATTATGTCCTCAAGTCCCCCAGATTAGAATTTTCATTTTGGGGCGGAAAAAGCCGGTGGAAAGCCAAACATCACCTGCTGAGTGTAGAGAGAACTAGAAAGGTTGCTGAGCCTTATCTGCAATTATGCAAAAAAAAAAAAAGGAATTGGCCAAACCCATGTTCATTGGTACAAAGAGAATGTACAATGCCTTCATGTTGCTTTAAGCATGTGGATGTGTAGCATACAGCACATCCTAGAGGAGAATAGAGGCAAGAACAGCTGACTACACACACTCACACCTTGTCATGTTTTAAAATATGAATACAGCCAATTAAAATTTGAAATCCCCCCTATAGTAAAAAGATAGAGACAGCTCATTAACAAGTACTTTTAAATGTTGGTTTTAATTTAGGAGCTTCTAATTTTCGCATAAGATATAGAGGAATAGTTTCAGATCATATCTATGTGTCTCCAAGGCTTGGTGTTTAAATTTAGCACTAAAAGAACACAGCTTCACTCCAACACTACAAATAAATATCATGAAAATCTGTAAAGCTTCGCCTCTTTTTGACCCGCGTCTTCTATCAGCCACGCAGACACGCAGCTGCTAAGATGTTGACAACTCTACTTCTGCACCCATTGTGTCAACTGTTTCATTGTCAGCGACAGTTTCAGTTTTTTGTTGTTTTTTTTGCAAGTAGAGAACAAGAAGAAAGAATCAGGACAAGAAATGAAAATTTGATACGTGGGTCACATAGAAAAACCTGCTCTTTCATCTCTTCATCAACACCTGGGAATATAAATAGTTCTGTTTAAAAATAATGGCTTTCATCTTCAATTACGCCTCTGAATATTCAATGTGAGAGCAATGGTGCCCCCTTGTGTGAGATGTAATTAACAGTGTGATGGTGATTTGGATTCTAATCAAGTCTGACAACATACAGTGGTTTTACCTGTGAAGTGTGCTCACCTCTCTGGAAGGCTCTGAGTTACAGTATGTGTTTGATATTTTTTTAATTCAACTTTCATACAGTTTCCTCTGCAGTACACTTTTATTGATTCTGTTGGAAGTGCAGGCCAGTCCCTTCTGTTGGTCTTTAGCCTCATCGGATCGTCAGACTGACTGCAGCCCTACCCTCCGCTGTCACAGCTCTGGGCGCTCTGCACGGCCCTGGGCTCAGTCAGGCGCTCGTAGGAAAGAGCTGTCATAACCTGTGAAAATAAACCTGGTGATATGTCTTAAGAAAATACAGAGGGCAAAGAAGTGAAGGCTATGAAATATATGCTGAGTTAAAGATTTCTACAGTTTTTTTAGGTAAAAAAAGGCACAGACTTCAGCGCTTTGACTAGTTTCTAATGAGGAAGGTACACACAGACATGGGGGTGGGGGGGGATAAGAAGCTTTAACTATGTATGTCAATTCCAGCTCCCAGAGAGTATGAAATTGGAGCAGTAGTAGTCAAAAAAAAATTGGCAATCCCCTCAATTGCTTCCCTGCCAAGTGTTAGATAAGACGATTTATCCATCTCATGACGAAAGAATTACACAACTTATATTTCTGAGCAGTTAATATGAAGTTACAGCCACCAGCCAGTTAGCTTAGCTTAGCATGCAGGAAGTGACTTACAGTAGCACATAACTCCTCCTCGAACAAATACAAACAAATGGTTCTGTTTTAAACTTTTGATATGGTTTGAACTTAATTAAAATAACTTTTTTTAAATAAGTAAACTCTACAGGTGTGAGTTGGCAAATTCTTCATATGAAGCTACGTACATCGAGCAGAGCTTTAGTTTAGAAGAGGTTGACTGTGCATGCATCCAATTCTTGTGTTTTCTTTTGGTGTGGAATAAAACATAAATATCATTTGTATGAGACACCTTTAAAGGCGTGAGAAGGTGAATTTTATTGTGGAGCTACAGCTAAACGAGCTAAGCTAAAAGAAATGAGGACACTAGCCTACCTCTGTCAGGAGGTTAAACAAATCTACCAGCGCCTCAAAAGCTAGCCAATAAAGACTTTATGTTGAATTTTGCATCCTTTTAAAATTGTATTTTTTTACACTTGGGTTTGTAGTATTTGTAGGACATTAGTTGTTGTGTGCTTAAGAGGTGCTTTTGTAAGATTAAAAGAGAACTTAATTTAATTAAGAGTTGTATCAATCCCCTGAAATACTCTCCTAAGGTAGCAAGAAAATCAATAAAGTATTATCTTATCTTATCTTATCTTAAGCTAGCAAGATTTCGGTTGTTGGACAGAAGTCTCCTAAAGAACAAAATATTGCTTGCAATTTCCGCTTTTCAGCCTTATGCTAAGCTAACCGGCTGTTGAGGATGGTAACATATATCATAGTGACATGAAAGTGGTATAAATTGCCTAACGTCGCAGAGAGCAAGTGTGCCTTAGCCACATATTTTCAATCGTGTCCTTGTCCTGTATCATATAACACATTTTCTACCAGGTATTTAATGAGCTGTGTTGTACTTACTGAGATCATTAGGAGGAGAGCTAGCATCATGCCTAACATTATGTACAAATTATTGGTCAATCCTCCCGCCCACAAAGGACCCAAGATGGTGGCAAGGCCCCCCACAGAGCGTCTGACACCTTGGCTGAATCCTTTCAGTGAAGCATCACAAAAGAAAACAAAGGTTACTTTTCCATCTACAATCATTAAAATATGGCTCGGGATCACAGCATGTTTAAACGGTTTATTTGCTTCACATATGCTGAGCAGCAAGCTGTTGTTTGAATATGTTGAGCCGTGCAAACAGAGCCAATGTAAAATGAGCCAACCCTGTGTTTTCTCTGCAGTCACTTTGGAGAAGAGAGACACCTGAGACACGGCCACGAAGGGAAGACCCAGCAGCTGCAGAAACACCCCGATGATGAAGGCAGACAGCTCCCATCTATAACCACCTGGAAGGGGCAGAAAAATGAAACCCTGGATTACTGAATTATTGTGGTTTGCCCTGAAATTATGACTTATGATACATGTCGTAAGAATTGGTTTAACAGCCTTTAATATATTAGTAAGTATAACATAGCCAAAATGAAATCCATATATTTAAAGATCTGATGAAGCCAGGATTAAATGCTGTTGCTTTTGCCATGTGTTGATGGAGATTCAAAGTGTGCAACAGATCCTACTTCAATTGTCCATCCCCTCTTCTCTCGTTTTTTTTAAATCCTTCCACAAATGGTTTGGCAGCACCAGAGATAGCTCTATCTGAAAATGAAACCCCTGCCAAGCTGGCATACACCACATTTTTGTTCTCTGCTGCTTTGCATCATGCACACTCATGTTGATGTATATGTGAGCCCACTCAAACTGTTGGATGTCCCTGAAAGCTACAAGTCTTTCATCATATAATGAAAAAGCAAATTTAACAACCACACAAAAATAAACTATTTTATTCCCACAGGTATCTGCCTTCCTTTGTGTGCCGTTTTTAACCCTGGCTGTAACAAAAAAGTAAACAAATGCAGGATATGCTTTAACAAAAAGCATTTTTGTCTAATTAGATTACTGTAATCCTGTTATGTGTACCCGGCTCCCCCCAGCTCCAGCACCTGTCACATGTAATAAGAGCGATAAACGTGACAAACTGTAACAGACGCAAGCCAACATGAACATACAGGATCCAGTGCGCCTGTGATCTCCTGCTGGCCTGAGTGATATCATTTACTGAGCACATTCAGCCTGTGTGTAACCTAATATGGCTGCCCTGCGCGTACACACCACCCCAGAGAAAGATTTGGCAAAAGAACATGAGGCCTTTTGAATCCAGTGTGTGTCATTTTGTGTGTGTTTGTATGTTTTCCCCGGACAGGTTAGCACCTCGTGGGTTGCAGAGGAAGACAAGGCACCAGATACAGGCGGTACAGCAGATGACCAGGCCCACGGCCAGCACAACGCGGTCCGCCACCTTCTTGCTCAGCCAGCGCACGAAGAAGAAGCCCAGGATGACCTCCACCCCGCACAGGCTGTACATCAGGCTGTTGCCCAGCTCGTCGAAGCCGAAGTAGCGCTGCGTCAGAGGAGTCACCATCGTCTGAGGGAATTTTTTTTAAACATGTAAGCAAGGTCGGTCAGTTAGATGAGGTGGAGTTTTGTGTCCATCAAAGGCCCCATTCAGTTCTGATCAAAAGAATGTTCTGATTTTAAATTGAAAGGATTACATAATCCAGGTCAGGATTGTTTGATTATTCAATAAGCAGAGTTTAATGAGAAAAGAGATGGCCTCATTATATTCATGTCAGGGACAAATAGATAGATTATGTACCGTAGTTACATCAGCTCCTGTTTGAGTGTTTAATGATTATTTTCTCTAAGTGACAGCACACATCTTTGCAGGTTTTATGGCTCAGATTGAGGAAGTTTGGGCGAAGCTAGGGGTAAAATAGTGTGACATTGTGTGAAATGCTTGGAAACTCCAGCTGATGGATCTCAACGGTAGCTGCTCTCACCTCCAGCGCTGTCTGATTGAAGAGAGTGATGAACTGAGCTGTGAGCAGAACAACCACCTCCTCTCTCAGGAACTCTGCACAGGGAGAGACAGAGAGAGATACTGAAGAACGAGAGATAATCATAAACCAAGCTCAAGTGGTAGCATTAAATCGAAAGTTTCAAACGGCGAGTTGGGTTGAGATGAAGAGAAAGATAAAGAAGTTTGAAGAGAAAAGAAAACCTTGAAATCTGAAAGTCGTAATCCTAAAATTGAAAGAGACGGGCGTGACCATCCCGGCTGGTTGGTCATGTTGATCCCCTCAGTCCAACAAACTGACTATTTCTTTTTCTATAGATAAGAGAGATCTCAGTGTTCCCTGTTTCTCATGTCCAAAACACGGTAACATAATAATAAGAAATTCACATTTTTATACCAGCTTTCCTGGAACAAAAACCCCCTTATGGACTTGGAGAGGAACAAAAATGAGCTGGGCTTGCAGCTAAATTTGGAAGAAAGTGCCAGATGGCTGGAGGAATGGCTTGATATTACAGTGTGTGATCTGCTATGGTCCAGATCTTTCTGTTTAATTATTTATATGAAAATATTTGTTTAACTTTTGCATTTACAGGATAGCATGTATCTATAGCATGGCTGTATTCTATTTTATGTATGGTTGATATGGGTTTAAACATTATAATATAGGAGAAATGTGTCTAAAAGTGATGTATTATTGCAGTTAAACAAAGCTTGGGCACTTAGAGGAGAAAGGATTTCAAAATTCATTTTAAAGATGGGAGATTTTGGCTCCCTTGTCCAAGACAAGTTCCAACAACATCATTTTTCATTACTTGGAATCACGCTGCCAGGTTCTCACCCATTATTCTATTCCTCATGTCAGATTAACCTGCTGAACTCCTCAAACAAATAACCAGCTACAAACATGATTTGGTTTAGTTAGACAGCTGAAGAGAGGCAATGTTTGGCAGGAGAGAGTAGGATGACATGAAGCCAAGGGCCGAGGTCGGATTCCAACCCATGGTCGCTTCAATGAGTGACTATATAGACTCTGTACATGGGGCGCATGACATAGGCCTAACTTTATTATGATTTATTACGATTTTTAAAAATTAGCCCTATGTGCTTTATTGAGACTCTAATGGTGGTAGGCAACAAACGCTAACTTGTAGCTTAGCTTAACTACTTCTTAGGTAAGCTAGCTGTTTCCCCTGGTTCCAATATTTATTCTAAGCTAAGATAATTGACGGCTGGCTGTAGTATTAAGTGTACAAACATGTGAGGGAACAATCTTATCATAAAGTTTTTCAATCGCTTCTCTAAGATCATTTTTAAATCATTACTTAAATTGCTACCTACTCGAGGTCACTCTATTTCTCCAAATAAAAAATAAATACTCCTCGTCTAACTCCTATTCCCATTCCTTTTCCATAACCAGAAAATTATCTTTATGCTTAGCTGGGCTAACTTGCAGATGACTGTGACTTGATATTTAGCATATATGTGGGGTGGCTTTGGCTCAGTGGTTGTGTTGTCTTTCAACTGGAAAGTCCAGGAGGTTCGATCCCCAGCTACTGCAGCCGCTTGGGTAAGAAACTGTACCCAAAATTGCTCCGACTGCTACATCGGCATTGTGTGAATGTGTTTTAGTGGGATTAGTTAATAGTGATGGATGCTGTACGTAGTAGCCTTTGCCATCAGCGTATGAATGTAGACAGGCGCTGCCGGTGTTGTATGAAATGCACAAATCCCACCAGAAATGCAACAACTTGATGAAAGCTGGTGAAAGATGTGCCTGAGTGTTAAAGATTCCTCACTCACACAGATCAAGTCAGGGAGGATCAATAATTCAAGAGAGTGAACACCAGACTCATGTAACAGACACAGCTACAGTATGAACCAAAGCTGCAGATATCCCCTGGTTTCACTCCAGAGTTTCTCCTGCTGTAGATTTTCTCCCCAACAAAAAGGAATCAATAAGAAGAATGTTGGTCACATCACCAATTCTGTCTCCATTTCATCCACAAGTCAACCACAGCAAGCCAGTCAATACAAAAGGAAGTCTGCCATCCATTCCCCTTTGCCACATCTTCAAAGAGTGAGAGAATCGATATTGAGGTTTGACACACACACACACTCCAACAAACACACTGCAACAAAGTAAAGCTAATCAATAATGACACACAATCACTGCCTGCATCCTATGTAAACTTAATCCAATAAGACACCTGGCATCATACGTATACAACACGCTGACTTAAACCAGAAACACACACACACTCACAAGTACAATCAATACACAAGGAATCCGATCCGACACGCCACAAAACATTCTCAGGGGGATCTGGAAGGGTGGAAAGTGTGTGTAGGTATGAACAAGTTTCCAGGTAAAAGTGTGCATACAGGTAAAAGTCTTTGTGCAGGTATAAGGATGTTTGCAGGTATATTTTATAAAAAAAAAGTTCATGCAGGTAAAAGTGTTTGGGCAGTTAAGAGTGAGTGAAAGTAAAAGTTTGCCTGCAGGTGTGTAATTATGTGTCCCACAGACATTTTTAAAGGAAATTTGGGGAAACAATCGTGGAGATTTTTTCCTGGTCTTTTGGGAGGTGAATTTTAGAGAACTTTGTGGAAAAGCTCTGAATTCTTCCTGGGAACAGTCGTGGGGAAATATTTTGGAGAAATTTCCTTAAAAAGGCGGAAATATATTGAATTTTTGGGGAAATTATTGAGATTTTTCTGCAAATTATCTCAGTAGTTTCGGTAATTTAAGGAAATGTTGTCAAAAAAATCTTGTGGAATTTCTATCGCTTATTTCTGTCAGGAATTCTTGTTGGCAATTTTTTATATTTTCAGGCAATCTGAAAGAATCTCTGGAATTTCCTAAAGTTTTGGGGAATTTTTCATCAGAATTGACAGGAAATTATGAGTTTTTCTTGTGAAATCTTGTCTTATTTTCTCCAGAAGTTCTCCAAGAGTGTTGATTATTTTTATTAAATTCCTGGGAATTTCCATGAAATTATCCACAGCTTTTTTGGAAATTTTCTTTTGGAAATTTCAGGATATTTTACAGGCATTTTTATTGAATATTCCTAGCAATTTCTGGGAACATTGAATCTTCAGGAATTGTGTGAATTTTCAATGGAATGTTTGGGGAATTTGGGGAACTTTTTCCCAGAAATTATACTGAGATTTCAAATAACTAGTTTAGGAGCTTCATCAGAAAAAAATCAGAATCAGAACTTTCATGAAGTCTTGCCAAAAAAAAATTATTCAAGAAATTATTTTGTCAACTCTTTTTGTAAATTTTATGGGAAATTTATTTTGCAGCTTTGGGCATTTTCTTTAATCAAAACTGTTGGGGAATGTGCCCCAAAAAAATCCTGGACTATTCAGAAACTTCCATTGATACATTTATAAGAAAATTCTCTTGAATTATCGTTTGAAGTTTCACAGAAAATGTTCTTCATTTTTTTATAATTCCCTGGAACTTTTGAGAATTTTCTTCAGGAATCTTAGCCAAGTTGTTGGAAAATTGTTGGGAATTTCTTATTTTTTTAAATTTGTCTGAAAGTATTGGCAATTTAATACAGAATATTTATCAGTTTCCCTGAAATATCATGGCACATGACAAGCAGTCTACAGTCACTCACCTCTGCTAACACTGAAGTTCTCAAAGGGGTTCAAACCCTGCATCCTGGACGAGGTGGAGGTCCCTAATTCGTCAGAGTTGACAGCTCTGTAAATCTGCACTGGCTCCTCATCGGACCCCATCAGCGGGGCCTCCTCCTCATAACCATCCTCTTGTTTCATCTCCACCATCACTGCAACCCCCTCCGAACTGTTGGGTGGTATATCCCAGTACATTACCAGGACGACAAACTGGAGCAGCACCCATAAAAGGCACATAAAGATCTGACAGAAAAAAAATATCCTTAAAATTATACTTGACATTTTCCTGAAGATTCAAGTTCAGCTGCAAAGAAATGTTTTTTAGTACAATCCTGGAAAACTCTCAGAAGAGATTAAGGATTCAAGGAGGAGAGTGTTCAATAAATAAAGAAACCGGCAGAGTGGTAAAAAACATGCAGTGTCCTATTATGTGGGAAAATTGTAAGTAGGTGTGTGAGCTTTGTTCTATCTCATTTAAGCCTCATCTGTTCTAAAGGTGTTTTATTCTTAGACTCATGAGACAGAAATTAATCAATACGGGTTGTTACCGGCCTGAGTATGGCTGCAGGCATTTTGTATTCTTATACCTCAGAGCAGAACAAAGAAGAAAAAACATTTGAGAAAAGACTATGGTACAGAATGTAGAGCGACTTTTTCTGAGGATTGTTTCTGTATTCATACGGCTTTCAGAGAACCTCAGATTACTGATTATGTGAAGGCTGTTACCCCAGGAGATGTGTATTTGTTCACAACAAAGGGCCCCAGTTCGAAATCACACAGCCGCAGGAACAGGTTGAACGCCGGCCCTGGAGAGACAGAGAGGAGGAAATGCTTTAAAGAGTAGTTGGAATCAAAAGAGGATGTGAGAAGACAGTAGCCACCACCTCAGTGATTTTTATCGAGTGCCTCTTCCTCACAGTTAAACTTGAACCTCAAAGAGAACATAACCAAATATGTCTTAGTGTCTGATAGTTCTGACGGTACAGAGGAGGTGCAGAGAGGTGAGATGACACCTCACCCACTCTAGGGTAAGATAAAGGGAGAAAAACTGACCGACAAGGAGGCCAGCTTGTCGACAGGCCATGACGGCTGCAAAGATACCAGCACGCTCCTCTGGCCTAGTGCTCCGAGTTAGGAAACCAAAGATGGAGGAGCCGGCTCCTGCACCGATCCCTGAGAGGAAAGCATCACCCTTCTGTTAAAACTTTCACAACACACACACAGGACCATAGAAGAAAGGATTTGGATGCTAAATCATGACATTGAAGTTTGTGAAATACACTGTGTGTGTGTGTGTGTGTGTGTGTGTGTGTGTGTGTGTGTGTGTGTGTGTGTGTGTGTGTGTGTGTGTGTGTGTGCGCACGTGTGTGTGTGCGCACGTGTGTGTGTGTGTGCTCACCTGCTACAAGACGACTACATAACAACAGCCACTTTGAATATCCTATAAAATACATGAAGTTACCTGAGGAAAGGCAAAAGTTAAAGAGTTCAAATCATGAATCTCCAGTGTAAAACAAATAATGCATCATTTAAACCCAGTACAGCCATCTGATGAACTTGCATCATGGCTTGAATATCAAAAAGAAAGCATTACCTATACAAATGGTAACTGCTCAAATCTCCCTTTTCAGTGCTGTGAATTTAGTGGATTATTACCAGATGTGAAACTACAAGGTAAACATTATACCCACTAATTATCGTCATCCTCACAAATCATCAGTTTTGCTATTTTGTACTGCTGGACAAATATCACAAATGACCCTCCGAAGGGTTTATCGCAGAGTAAAAGTAATAATACAGCTGAGGTAGAGTGTGTTAGCCACCAGCATGACTGGGGTTGCTTAATTGAAATTGAGTTTGATACACCAGTGTTTTTTGGCCATCATAGTTTGAAATAATCACCATATGGACAAAAGAGTGGACAAGAACATAGGCCTATTTGTGAACAGCAAACATGATGAAGCAGTTTCCGCATGCATGGAGATTGCATCTGCTGTGCTGGTTGCAGGAACAAAATGACATAACCCCCTCCGATTCCCTTTTCAGGAATATTTCCTGCTGAGTTCTCAGAGGCCCTCACCCCTTCTTCATGCGAAAACTGTACCATGGGGCTGGAAGGATCAATTCATAAATTCATACATAAAATTCCTTGTGCAGTTAAAACATTGTGTAAAGATGTTGCCTAAACATCAGCCACAGTTTGAATGTCACACAAGTTGTTTATACAAGTGATTTCTTAAATCTGAACGTCTGTGTCATGTGATTTGTCTCGAGCTTTAATTACTCACCAGCAATCTCAAAAAGATTGGAGAAAAGGATGATGGACTTTGTAGTTTTGCTCCGGTCTGACCAGAGCCCAAAAAGGGGGCCTGTCAGGAGCCCACTCAGACTGAAAGCAGACAGACCCAGACCGAGGAAATATGGAGGGGCCTCCAGGATCTGTAGATACCTCCATATTGTCGGCAGAATGACAGCTGAAAGCAGCAGAGCGAGATATGAGGGAGGAAGAGCGAGGAGGTAAAGGAGGGAGACGAGTAACTGACAAGCCTCATTTAACCACAGAGAAAACAGATTTTAATTAAAGCAGAAGCTGTATCCTCTGTGATGTGTGCTCACAGCCAAAATGTCAGGCAGATTCTGCTCTAATGAGACCATTATCTCATGTCTTCAAGTCCATAAAGCTGTCATTATGAGCTTACCGTACTCGATGCCGCTCAGCATAAATATCAGCCCAATGGTGAGAAAAGTTAGATTCCTCTTTCGGTGATTATCCATCCTGTTTGGTGATTTTCTGCCTTTTATTCACCAAACTATGTCTGTGTGTGTTGCTGACAAACGGTCAGCAGCATAATCAGATAACAGGAGTCACTGTGTGTCCAATTACAACGGCTGGCCTGCTGGTAATCAGAGGCATTTGTCTCACTCCTTTTAAGAGGCATCTCAGATCTTAAAAAAAGAGAGATTTGAAGGCTTCTCCTGGAGTCAACGTTCAGCAGGATGGACACCAAAAACTGTGTAAAAAAAAAGCAAAAACAGAATCAACAAGCAAAACAGCACAGAACAGGTTGAAATAGTTGCAGCAGTCTGTTTCCATCAGGAATTTATGTTAAAGGTGAAATACTGTTTGAGTCACGTCGGCAGTGCAACACCACACTGTGAGCCTCGCGGTCAAGGCAATGTCTCAGGTTACCAGGTGAGGTAAAGTACACTGAGCTTTATACATTTTTAATCTTGTTTGCTTCAGTTTCATCAAACGAATCCCACCTACTGGGGAAGAAATATACCTGCACTTCCAGCTTTCTCTTATAGGTTTTTGCACTGTTACAAAGACTCCATTTGCCCATTTTCTCATATAATACATCAGCAGGTAATAAAAACATACAGCTCATAAAATAGATCAGATCAACCAGGATTACATTTCCCTGAATATGAAGCCTAACACCAGAAAGAGTGATAAAGGGTTGAGTAAAATATTCTGCATCACTTGATTGTTTTCAATACTGAATAAATTAGGTATGACACCGCTGTCTGCTTTATTGAAAGGCTGGCTCCATTTTCAAGCTGCTCCGCTGCTCTATGCCTTAGGCTTGTTATATTAAACAGAACTGTCACCAAGTTAATACCGCCACATGTTTTTTTCCCCCAGCAACCCATGAATAATACAGAGACTTTCAATTGTTTGAATAACACATAGAAACTCTCTGCACTCATATCAGAGAGTGTTGGGACTTTCTGAGAGCTCATCATGAAGATGAATAATCGTGTTTGGGTCAGGATCTCCACTGTATGTATGTGTTTGTGTGTTAATGAATGTAAAGGGGAATTATCTGGCATTTCATCACAACTTTACAACTTTTCATACAAATTTCATCAAGTGTGTGGTGTTGGAGATTATTGAGCTGCATGTGATAAAATAAATCAAATACATTTTGCAGTAGCTGATGACCAAACCTCATTCAAATTTCAACAGTGATTTATACTTCAACTACTTTATTTTGCCTTTTTGTGTGGTTAAACAAACTGAGGAGTTTCATCTGGTTAAGAAACAGACTGGAACTAACACTGATGCCTCTAGAGCTAAAAAGCAAACCAGACCATCAGGAAGAGGATTGACTGTCGCCATACAGTCGTGTTTAATGCCTGTAATGCACAAAAGGCGTAACAACACACTGCTGAAAAAGTTTCACAGTAAATTGTATGTTAACAGTTTAAAGAAGGTGCCAGATATTTCATTGGAAATAATACACACATACAGGACGGGATCAGCAAAGAGGTAGAAAGTAACATTATGACCACAGGAGGCGTCAAAATCTAAATGAAAGTTCCTCACAGTAGCTGAGTTTTATTGTCCGCTAGCTTTTCAGCAGGAATTTGTTAAACACAGGAAACCAGTCCATGTGGATGAATGCAATCCTCTGTGTTGCAGGATCCAGTCTGCGGATGTCTAATGAAGAGTTTGCGTTAATGAATCTCTTAGATGTCGCCTCTAGACTCAAACTTAATTTTTCTTTCCCATGTTGCTAGTTGGGCTGTAAGGACATCTTGGCTGAAAGTCTTCTATGATTAGAAGGTCCAAATAACTAGTCGTTGCTTTTTTCTTCGATTTAGTTTCTCTTCAGCAGTTCAACCCTCCTCTGCATTTATTGTTGCTGTTGACAAAATGTTCAGAGCTTTGATGTATGCAAGTTTTAAAGTTATTGCCTAACTGAGTAATCCTGCTTCATGCCTTACCTCTACCTGGACTGAAGTTTCTGAAAAAGACACTTGGCTTACTTACAGACTTTTTAAATCAAAGCTAACATTTCATGCGCTGTCCTTATAACAGTGGGTTTATTGTTTTTACGTATAAACTGCAAACAAGTGGAAACATTTTGTTGTAAAATCAATTGATCACATTTTTTAATTACATGTTTCTCTCTTTAGGGATTTGTACTGTTTTCTTTATTGTGTATCACTTGTAAACTCTTAATTTTTTTTAAATAGGAGAAAGTAGCTTAATTTGCAAAAAAAAACTTCATTTATCTCCAACTTAACATTACTGTAGTTTTAATTTTACTAGAGCTTGTAGAGCAAGTGTCTTCCCATCACGCTCAGTGTCTTCTTGCTGTTCTTGTTAAAAGGCTGATAATCAAGAAAGGATCATTCAGCTTTTCCATGACAAATGACTGCATGCAGCCGAGCGTCACGGGCCCACTGAGAGGCCATTAGCATCCTACCTGCCTTACCTGTGGTGGTTTCTATAGAAACACACATGAGGGTGGAGGTGTTGGTGCTCACCTTTGAGTTTGGGTAAACAACAGGGAGTCCCCCGGGGGAATAAAACTGCAATCTGGTCCACTCAGTCAGTCACAGCGCTGCACTGGAGCCTGTATGAGATATAAGATGAAGGGCTGTCCACCCACAGACATTTGACTTTCAGATAGAGACGAGCTTGTTAGTTGGATGTTCAGACTCAGCCTTGGAAGAGGGTTGAGGTACAGATAGGAGTGGGCATGTTCTTGAACACAACTTCCCCCCGGAGGTCACTCAACATCCCTATTAACATCAACTTGCAGGGCGCTCGCAGGCGGCAGACACGGTAAGAGAAGAGCATCGACTGAGCCGGGCAGCTTTGAACACACTGTTGGGAGTTTATTATAGAGGTGAAACACAGGTGATGTTTGAAAAAGCTTTAAATTGATTGGTCATACTTTATGTTTCTGTCAGGGTTAAGAAAAACACAAGGTTGTAAAGTCAGACACACAACAGAAAAGTTTGAATAGAGCAAAATCCTTTATTATTACCTTTAATGAGCACTTCACTGATTTGCTTTTCATGTTCAGTGTCCAAGGATCACAAATCAGCCATTTAAAGTTTGTAGGAAGTCTTCTGTTTTTTCTAAAATGATTATCCTATAAAAGAACATCTGATGAGCTCACAAACACTTGTGTTGGTCTTGAGATTTGAGATATTCATCAAACCCTGCGCTGCGTATGGGTTTGTTTATACTTTTAATTATCTTTAATGTGAGATCCATGTTTTGAGTTGATTAAAAAGATTGTGATGGACCTCTGCAACCTTTGTTTTGATTATGCTTTCGTGTGGTGGAGGTGTTGGTCAGTCAGTCATTTAAATGAATAAATAAATAAAGTTCACAAAAATCAGTCATGCATTAATTGCGTAATAATTATTCAATTAAAGAATTACAAAATGATTCAAAATGAAATCTAAAGTGGACGCTTAATTTGTTCATGCATAGAATAAGAAAATCAATTTGTATCACTGATGGATTAAATCGAATAATCCCTGAAGTACATGAATGTATTTGTGTGTGTGTGTGTGTGTGTGTGTGTGTGTGTGTGTGTGTGTGTGTGTGTGTGTGTGTGTGTGTGTGTGTGTGTGTGTGTGTGTGTGTGTGTGTGTGTGTGTGAGGGACACAGAGAGCTCCTCCATGCAGCCAGGGTTCAGGAGCAGGACTGCAGCAGGGGGGTGGATGGTTGTGGGGGTCAACGGGCTCGGACTCAGGTTCCTGTTTCGAGTGCTGGCGAGGACCGAGCCATCCTGCTGGGCTTCACCATGATGGCCTTCTCTGTGCTCATGTTCTTTGTGGTCGGCATCACGGTGGTCAAACCCTACATTAACAGGTACTCTGAAGTGCGTTGATCATGGCAAGCATGACATATGATAAACAGTTACGACTTCTATATAATTTAGTATAACTTTTATTTTTTTTGTCTCTTATTTACTCATGCAAATGAACACTACATTCAGAAATTCACAGATATAACAAAAGAGCAAGTGCTGCGTACAAAATGATTCTCATTTTGATTTCTTGTGAATTGAAGCACTGTTTGAATGGCTTAAAGAAAGTTTTTAAAAATTATAATCCAAACTGTTTTAAAGATAACATTATTATTCAATTATCAGTGAAGAACAAACTCAATGTATGCAGTTAGTAAGTCGAACTGGCAATTTAAAGCTCTAAATTTAAAACAAGACTAGCATATAAGAGTAAGCTTAATGAGAATGTATGCTCATAATGAAAATAGGTACAAGCAGCTCATTAGCAGATACAATGTTCACTACTAATGCAATCTTTGCTGAGTCTGTTAGCATGCTAATGTTTGCTAATCAGCACAAAAACAGAAAGTTCTAGGCATATTGGTTATATTTCATTAACAATATATATTAGTTAAAAAGGTGTGTACAGGGGCACTGGTGGCGCATTGGTTAGTGCGCGCGCCCCACGTATGGAGGCTATGGTCCTCCAAGTGGGCGGCACAGGTTCAAATCCAACCTGTGGCCCCACATGTCATTCCCCACTCTCTCTCTTCCTGATTTCTGACTCTATACACTGTCCTATCTCGACAATAAAGGCACAAAAGCCCAAAAGAAAGGTGCGTACAAAGTGCATTACGTCACAGTTTCTTTTGCTGCTAGCTGCTTATCGCTAATTACATTAACAAGAAAAGTGTCAGATAAACCCCAGAGTCAAAATGATTTATTCCATGGGTGACATGAATATCTGAAAAAAAGGTTAGTTTGATTAATCTTCAGTAAGATAATCTAGTCTAGACCAGTGATAACCAATACATAAACTATATGTTTAAATGTTGACTTAAGTCAAAATTAAGATAGTATCTTTTTTTTTAGCCAGTTGTGCTTTTAGCCTTCATCTACGTTTTTTTAGAAATTGCCCAAATTAAAAAGTTTAATAAATATCTAAAATGAAAACAATCCTCATATTAGATAGAGAGATATGAGAAACTACTATTACTGCCTTCTGGTGTGACCTTGGTTTTGATTTAGGAAACATTCCCTCTTGTTTTGCAGTAAGTGGGAGGAGGCCAGCTGTGCTGTGCTGCACTCTGAAATCCTGGAGGAGTGGATGGACTGCAGAGGTGTGAGCTCTGTGCCCTGTCTCAGGGTGAAGGTTAACCTCACTGGCTCCAATCAGACATTTGCTCTACACTTTGACGAGGAATCTGTCCTCCTGGCTCCTGAGGTAGGGAATTATGGTAGTAAAGTCCAGGTTTTGTGTCTTACCTGAAGGCCCCAGGGGTTTGGATCTGTTTCTCACTAGGTGTCACTAGGTGTTGGAAGGGAGGACAGCTTCAGGGTAGGGCCTGAGGAGGAGATTTGAGCATTACAGCTTTAAGTCTGTGTACAACAGCTGTCATCCTGCAGCCATGTAAGCCATGTGAGCGGGTTAAAAAGGTATTGGTTTGAATGAACATTTAGTCAAAACTCTAACCTAATAAGGTGGCACCTATACGATTTGAGGTGCACCCCAGGCCACACCCTAGACACACCACTCTTTTTCTTTTCAATGACAAAAAGTGCGTTCAAAAAAAGCATTGCTAATCATCCAACTGATTGTAATAATATCTGCAGGAACTTAGTGGCAGGTAATTTAATAAATTCACTCTTTAATATTAACCTCCTCTTTTCAGTGTTTCTACATACCTAAATGTCTGATGGACAGAGCGGAGCTTCAGAAGGAAGTGGAGAAAGTTAAAAACAGTCTCGACACTCAGCTTGGAATCACGTCTTCATGCCTAACTGACCCCACAAGGCACCCCAGGGACGCCATCTTGAAGAGGAAGTACACTTATAAGAAGACTTTGTTCGCGCTGCTTTGGCCGTGTCTGATGCTGGGGGCCGGGGCTCTACTGGTGGGCCTGGTGAAGCTGACTCAGTACTTAGCACGTTTCCTCTGGGATATGCAGTGAGGCTGCAGAAGGCAGGCTGACATCCAGACACACTCAGGGACAAGTGTACAGACTGCTCCGCAAGTCCAGCATGACGTCTCCTTCATGACTTATCCCGTGTTTACACTCCGAAATGACCAACAACTCTATGTGACTATTTCACAGGCACATAATATGATTTAGCTCCAATATTTATAACGCTGCTCAGAATGAAAATGTTTTCTCAGGTGTGGCAAAAATCTTATGATCTTAACTAAAAAGATCCTTTCAGAAGCCTGTTGTCGTAGAGTTGTAGCTTTTAAAGCTTCTGTGATGAGTTTTTATCAAAGTTATGAAACAGACTGAAACGAATATCAATGCCTCTTAATGGCCTACAAAAGCACCATCAGCATAGTGATTGATTAATTCAGATTTTTGTTTTTAGTGCTGAAACTTCCTGTCACAGTATAGGTGACAGACGAATGATTCACAGCAGCCAGCAGAAACAGACTCTTTCTTGTAAAATATATTTTTCTGGGAAGGCTTCGAAGTGAGTGTTACATTTGACTGTTAAAACAAAGCAGGGTGCGATTTTTTGATTATCTATTAACAGGACCAAATCGGTTAAAGAACAAAGGTACCAATTCGTCCAAAGGGCGGCGTCAAAATCAACACAAAACCAAAAGTTCTTCACTAGAGCTTTAAATGATTTAGCTCAGTCCACTGTCAGTGAAGAGCAAACGAGCTAACAAAGCTAACCGCACACACCTTTAACATGAGTCTGCATTGATACAATAAAACATTTAAAGTCATTGTTAGTCTTTCAAACATAGTCAGCAAAACTACGCAAGCTCGATTGCATCCTGATTTTCAATCCCAGTGTCTTAGATGTGCATGATTTTTCAAAGGCAAATGTTGACTAGGAAGTCACTGAATGTCGGAGTTAGCTGTAGTCCAGCAGAATGTGTTGTGTTAACAAATATGTTAGGTTCCCTTAGTCTACACTCTACCAGGAAGGACGAGCATTACCCTTTAATAACAGATATTTAGCTTTGTATCCTGTTTCTAACATCAGAGGGGAGAGGCTTTGATGTGAATGTACTGAGTTAGTAGTCTGAGTCTTCCATTTACCACATTTTTAAGTCTTTTGTGCAGTTCTCTATAGAATACACCAAAAACAAATAAGGGTTATCTATAATTCTGATACTAGCCTTGTTCCACATCGACCGACCGATACGTATACGATACAAATATTGGGGAAAAAAAAAAAATCAGATGCCGATAACTTTCTTTAGATCTATGTTCGATATGTAGAGATACAGATGTACACATTTATTGTGTTGGTCCCTCAAACACTTGAGGAATATACAGTATAATAAAACGAGATGGTCACTCAACTGGAAAGTAACTGTGCAATTGGAGGGTGATAATGCTTGTTGCAATGTTAAGAGAACTAAGTTTAATACAATGAACCTCAAATGCTATTTGACTGGTAAATAAATCAACAGCACATACGCATCTGCGATAAAGGTAGCCAATACAAAAAGTCACTGGATATACTAATAACAGCCGATGAATCTGTTGGGCTATAATTGTACTGTAAGTAATCGAAGTGCCTGTAAATAAACAATGTATTCATATAGGGAGAAATGTTTTTTATTCATCAGTACAATACATGAATGAATACAGTTTCTTATGAGGATCGTATGCGGATGACTAAAACAAGTATTTGAAGAGGTTTTATGATATATATACAGATGAATATAACTAACATATGACTCTGGTTCTTTTCATGCAGGTTAGCTTTTTCCTCCTTATTGTGCTTACAGACTTCCACTCGGGGCAAGAGATCTCAACTCGACAACAGCATCAAGTCCTTGTCCTTCATTCAACAATTCGCTTCTGCTGCTTTCTCATTCATTTCGTTTCAACAACTAGAAGCTGTCTACTGGGTCTCTATGAGGATGGTGCATGAAATGCATGATTCCTCCTTTTTTTTTTTTTTGGTTAGCAGTTACATATGTGAGTTTGCTTACATTTAAAAATACAAAAATATATTACCTCTGTAGTTATTCAAGGAAAAAAAGCATTTGCACTTGTAGCAGTTCTATGTTAACTTCATTGTGACTCTGTTGTACCTCACACAAGTAACAAGGTCATTATTTATACATGAAATTCAAGTAAACAACATCAGGTCAAAAAAAAAAAAAAAGTAGATAGTCGAGGACCTCATGCATAATGCAGTGTAAGAAACAGAAAAACAACAAACATAACATGTAAATACAAAGGGAAATAGCATCATTTAGATAGTTCTTCCATAAAGTATTAGGGGATTTTATTTTGAGTTTGGGTCCTGCCCGTCGCTCTGTAGCCCGTACAGAAGCACATCCATCTCAGTAGGATCAGTTTCCTGGGCATAATAAAGTCCCCACAGATGTACAGCAAACATAAATCGGACTTTCAGACATACGAGTGTCCAGGAAACCGCCCTGTTGTGTTTCATTTGGTAAAGCTAGAACATTTACTGACCTCTTACGCATGTGTCTGTGCAGTGTAGCAAACCTGCAGAGACTTTTCTTCCACACATAAGGGTGACAATCATAGGAAAAGAGGAGGGATGAAGACACTTGGGAAGGTTGAAAACAATTCACTTCGGCTGCTTTTCTTTACCTGGATGTCACGATCTGGAACCAAAGGTAAGGAGAAGAGTGCGTTTTAAAAATATTCGTCTGATCTAGAACAAGAAGACAGGAGTATTTTTTTTTTTTACAGATGGCTTAGATTGAAGCTCCACATATAGCTGGTAAGAAGAAGCAAAAGGCAGGGACCAAAGGCGTTTCTCACTGCTGTGTTTTTCGTAGGGAAGAAGACGACGATCCTGTTACAGTGCAACATTTTCTCTTCCATGTACTGTCTGTGTAAAGTCTGTTGACACTGCTCCGTGTTAGCATGTCTGGGGGGGGAGGATGCACCTCTCTCTTGTTTTGCACTCTGACATCACCTTTTTTTTTGTTGTTGCAGTAAACAGTACATATTAGGATCACAACTTGCATAGTGTAACAGCACAGCACACTAAAAGAACACTGCATATCTGTATCTCGCCTTTATCAGCTCCTGAAAACAATACTGTGCGTCTCTCACAGCTGACCATCTGAACGTTTTCTTCCAGTCCATCTGCGTACAAATTGCTCGGGGGTCGAATGATGCACACTGGTGCCTCACAAACTGACAGAATAATACTGATAAACAAAACAAAATCAAACAAAAATACTGCAGAGATCAGTGCTATGAGTACACAGGAGACTTGGAATAGTAGTGACCTTTTTAACAATAAGACTGCGGAGTAGTGGGGTTACACATCTAGTCCTTTGGCTCAGTAGAAAATATATTTAAAAAAGGAGTATATGCACCGAATTCATACAAGTCTCTGGATATACTGCTGTACAAAAGTCAGTTTTCTATGGAGGGTTATGAGCGGAGGATAAGTCATCTGTAGGCTACAAAGAAGTCCTTAAAAAATGCTAGCTAAGTGTTTTACAACACGTCCTCTGTATGTTCTACTTACTGCTTTTTTAGTAGCTTTAAAGATTTGGTTGGATCTCCAACGTCTTCATCCGTTCGAAATAGGTAGTGGAAATAAATGCAGTTACTCTCTGTCAGTTCATAGTTAGAAAAAACAAGCTGTGCTAATGGTTTACAACTTCATGGTGGTTTTTTTTCCTTAATGCTGATGGTTTAAGATGTAGTGAAATATGTTTTTAAAAAATAAGAAAATAAAAATGTGTCCATAGTTAGTTAACATGAAAAAGGCCAACGTTGTTGAGGTCCATTATACTTTTGTTTAGTTCCTATGAAGACTGATAGAATATATCTCCGCCCTGCTTTTTTTTAAAGTTCAAAGTGCAGGGAGAAGAAATTCAGAACCCTGCAGGAGCATTTAGGCGTCATGGCCCTAAAACTGGCCCTTCAGAGGACCCTTTCTTCTCTGGTGCACTTGCAGGTAACGTTCGCAGTCACGCACTGGTTGAAGTATTAACCAGGCCTTAGTGTGTTTGGGCAAATACCTTGCTCACTGTTCAGAGCTCACTGCTGTCACAACAATCCTCGACTCTTCTTCTGTTTCAGTCCTCATTTTAGTTCATGGCGTGCTGGCGGATTGTGTGAAAGATCCAGTCCATCTTTGTAGTCCAGCCACCGTGGTGAGCGTCGTTCATCTGCTTCATGAAGTAGTCCAAGGCCTCCTGCTCCGTCTTGTCCAAGGCCAGGGTCTTCCTGATGTAAGCGATGTCATCGAACGACTGCAGCTCAGGCATCCCCGAGCCCAGCATCATGGAGAAGAGGTTAATGAAGAGGTTGGCGTGCTGCCGGATTGCAAGATAGGCTTTGTAACACATCTCCTGGAACCTGGGCGAGGACGATGACAAAAAAAAAAAAAGGGAAAGAAGGAAGAAAAGTGGAGACAAAACAAGGTCAAGATATTTTATAAATCTGCCACGGAGAACAGTTAAAGGATGGGAACGTTATTGTCATTGTTTAAAAGAACACAAGTCCTGTACAGCAGTGTTTTAAAATCTGGTCTTAATATAAAAACACACCCATAACTTTGTACATAGAGAAACAGTTGTGCTACACTGAATGAGTAGAGAACTAGTGTATAGAGAGTTGTCATAATGCTGCACAAAAAGGTTCAAGCTCAAGTTTTTTTTTTTTTAACTTTGGTATTTTTATGTGATAACTAATTTTGTTCTTTTACTTCCAAGATAAAACGCTACTGTGTAGATAGATACCTTTCAAACTCCCTTGTTTTAGTGCATTCCTGAGTTCCTTTGCTAATTACAATCAGGAAATCCTGCGTGAGCACGAAGGGCACCCGTTCTCTCTTGTACCCAAACTTTTTCTTCTTGTGGTCGAGAAAGTGTCCAAAGTCTATGTGAAACAGCTGTGGGAACATCAGAGGAGTAAGAAATGTAATATTCATTAGTGTAAGGAAATAAACTAGTGCACAAATAACGTCTAAATAAATGTAAGCCTTACCTGTCCATCGTCTTTGACCATAATGTTGCTGTTGTGTCTGTCGCCTATGCCCAGGATAAATGTGGCTACACAGTAACCAGCACAGGACCGGGTGAACAGATCGATGGCCTGGTCATACCTGAGACATCAAACAAAAAAAAAAAACTAAATATCATGCTTGGAATCCCTTTGAAGCAGCTGGCAGGGAGCCATTTTCATTCCACTTAGTTATGTATTGGATGCGAAAAAAGAAGACAAGGGAGAGTCTTGTCATGGCTACTTCGTAACATTCATAGCAGCCAATTAGTCTTCAGTCTGTTGCCATCTCAAGCCCAATATTCCCAATCAACGTTAATACTCAAACACAGCAATGGTCTCACGTCTGGTTTAAAGAATCTTAGAGAAATGTGTTGATCAACATCCTCATGGAGGATTATTTTGAGGCTAATTACATTGTAAGAAGGGTCATAAATGTTTTCAAATATTTTTGTGAAAAACCTTTTAACAGAACCTACAGAGTGACTTTTTTTTAACTCATGAGTCAGAAACAGGCTTATATATGAGATAAATAATTCAGGACGTGTGATTAAAAAATGTAAACCTCTATTTTGATTTCATGAGTACCTGAATAAAAGTCTTTATTAGTTACTAATACTCCCTTTAAAATTAGAAAAACTCTGTGTGCACTCACATCTCCCCCTTGTTCTTATCCTTGAGCCACTGATGCAGCGTGTGGCTGTTGAACTGCAGCGCCCCCTTCAGGCCTCCTTTGCACTGGATCTGCATGATGGTGTGAGAGTTCCTCACCACTTCGATCAAGCCCACACAGTCTCCGATGGACAGACAGCCATAAGGCAGCATCCTGGGAGAGGAGGGACAGGAAACATGAAGCGAGGCAGGAACACTCGGGACAGCAGTGACATCGGATGACTTCAGGTGTTTTCCACTAATCTGCGTTCAGGTACGGGGGGGTCGAACATGAAAGCACCCAGCGGCGGTTAATGTGCACCTGCATTCTCGCTGTCATGGGGAAGTGAGGAGCCTACCTGAGATCAAGGCCTTGGTTCTGCCAGATGTTCTCCATTATCCTAATGATCTGCAGCGTCAGCATGTCCTGCCTCAGATCTGCAGAGGCACAGAGAGAGATGAGGAGGAGGATGACAGTCAGGTGATTATTAGCTGCTTAGCTCCACTTTGATCAAGTGCACCATGCATTATGGAGCAGAGCTGTCAGAGTCGCTTTGGTCACAGATGGTGCACCAAAATGCCCGAGCCGCTGCGGTGAAGTGTGATTCGAATAAGATGTTCTGATTTCTAAATTAAAGGCATATGAGGTTGTGTTTGTGTTCCAAAATGCTGCACGTATGAACCAAAGGCTTAGAAAGAATTACGATGCATGCTTGGAGATACTTTTTAGTGCATGCGTGTGTGTGTTTGTGTTTGTGTGTACTTATACACAGTGAAACACACAAGAATAGAGATCGACATGGGAAGCTAAACTCACCATCTCCATTTTTGAAGATGATTTCATTGTTTTGAAAGAGCAGCTCTGACATCATATCTGGGTTTTCCCAATTAAGCCACAGCGGTCGCTTGGCTGACGACATCATCCTGCATTCTTCCAGGCTGAAACAGAAATTAGGATGTTTTTGAAGTGGATGAGATAATGATAGAAACAGAAACCAACAATGTATTCATTATTTAATCTCTTCTGGTCAAATGTGCATGGTTAACCATAAAATGAGTTCAGTGTGAACCCCATGACTGATTGTACTTTATACAAACACAAAACAAAGCTATTAATGCGTGTTAAATACAATAGTGCTTTAAGCCTTTAACAGGTCAAAATGCAGAGGTCAAAACATTTCAGTGGAGAGGTTAGATAAAAGGAGTGCTGATGTACCGGAGATTTCCGAGCTGATGAGCTGGATTCAGCGGGGAGGTGAAGTTCTGCAGGGCGTCCATATAATCAGGCCGTCTCATCTGCTCCACCAGAAACTTCATTTGAACCTTTAAGTTCAGAAACAAATGCATCAGTCATTCAAACAAGAGCACAATGATGTTTTATTCTTAGCAACCTGATGACACAGTGCACAGTGAGGTAACTCTAAATAACTTTTATGTTGTGTAGCAGGGCACCAGTCATGTTTTTATGGATACAACAATAACAGGTTAAATACTGCTGTAGTTAGAAATGATCTCAATAGGCTAGTAAGCAGGTAAAACAATGAATTTACTTATTTACCAACACCGCTGAGTGTGGCCCATTATTTAATGGCTATTTGTGTCTGAACCAGTGCTTATATAACTAACTGAATGTTACTTAACAACAAGCAAACTCTTACAGAAATTCTGATACTACAAAAATAAGATGAAGGATTATTAAAAAATAATGATAATTCAATAGTTTTTGAGACCACATGTTTAAAAGGATATAATTGAAAATGTGAAACTATGAAAAGTACAAAACACTGATCTAGTCTCAGATTTTAAAGCCTAAGGCTGTGACACCAGTGAGACAAGACTAAGTGGTGGTCGAGTGAATTAAAGAGTGAGTAAAGAGAGGCGTCTCATACGGACACACAAGGTACCTTTATCGTCTGTTGCAGACACACAGAGAGCAGAAGAGAGAGACAGAAACAGCAATGTCAGACTGACACCTTCAAGTGAGCAGCAACAGCAAAATAAATATAACAACAGGCAAATTCTCTGCAGGCACAGACTCAAGCACACACTTCTATGGGATCTTCACTGCTAACTGAGAGGGATGTTTTTAGTAGAATAACACTCATTATGTTATTCATAACTATGTTAATATGTTCAAATGTGTCCGTGTGGTGTTCAGTCACTTTTTTTCTGCACCAGCGCTGCTTGCAGGTTAGTAAACTAAGAAAAAGAAACAAAACCTTTTTGCTATTTGGAAGAACTATGTCTTATTGTTTGCGTTTCTTCAGGCCTAAAACTGGAATTAGGTCGTCCTCATTACAATGTCCCACTTCTACATGTTTAGGTCATTTGTATCTGTTTCTTGTGATGGCCATTTTTGCCTCTATTGGAAAGGACAGCGAAAGAGAGACCAGAAATGTGTGTGTGTGTGTGTGTGTGTGTGTGTGTGTGTGTGTGTGTGTGTGTGTGTGTGTGTGTGTGTGTGTGTGTGTGTGTGTGTGTGTGTGTGGTGGTGGTGGTGGGGGGGGGGGGGGGGGGGTGATGTCCAGCAAAGTGCTGAGGTCGGATTCAAACCCACGGCTGCTGCAACGAGGACTTTGGTCTCTGTACATGGCGTGCATGACAACTTCAAGGGCTGTCTGTCGCCCCAAATGCTGGCCATTTGAATTAAAGTGTCTATTCTTCAGTTAGTGTCCTCTTTATTTAAGGGAATAAACAAGGAGCGTCCCTGTGCTCTGATCTGCATTCATTTGCGATTGATACTCTTTCACTTCCCTGGAGGCTTTTATTGAACAACTACTAAAAAGAGCTGATCTTTATAAACAGCGGCTTAACTGCTCGACACAAAAACAACCAAATAGATTTAACAGAGCAGCAGTGAATCAAAATGAACAATATTGATGTAAACAAAGCTGTGAAAATATAGGTTATACATGTACCATGCCAAATGTATTCAAGGTCCTACCAGAGTTTGTTGCTTTAATTAAAGTTTCAGATTGTATTTAAGATTTGTCTATTTGTTTATTATTGTATGGCTATAACAGTTTGCATCACATCGTTTTGTAGTCTCTTATCCTAGTCTGTTTGTATTAAGCTCCAAGCAATCTAAAAAAAAAACAACTGTCCAAACTTCATCACTCTATCTACTTAACTAGTGTTGGGGGATCTGTCGCCAGATTGCTCCAGATGTTGTCAAGATTAAATTCAACTGCTCACGGATCACAATTAACAGCTGTTGGCTGTCGGATTACCTTCTGTGCCTCATCTTTTTTCTCCTGTTTGAGGAGGTCGGTCAGATTGATGAGTTTCTCCATGGCCTCCACCTGTCTGCTCAGGTGCTTCAGATACATGCCACAGGCCCGGCAGTACGACTCCAGCAGCAGGCCAAACCGCTGGCTCACTGTCTTGTTGTGCATCTCTGACCTGCACACATGATAGCAAGAGAAAAAGAAAATGAGGAGAACTCTTTTGAATTCAAAATAATCTAGAACCTGAATGATAAGTGACAAACGCATCTTTAAACTCCTGAAGGAGGCCCTTTTTTAATCTACTCACTTTAAATGCCAGAAGAAGAAATGTCCTATCCTCTGATTGGTTAAAGCCTTTTTCAGCAGGAAGCGTGCAAGTGGGTTATCAAGGTACTGCTCATACTTAAGAACCTGGGCACAGAAAACAAAGAAATGTACCATAAAATCATTTTAATGTTTGTTAGAACAAACACTGCTACACTGAATAAAAGTCAAACCTAAGCCTTCATGCTAATAATAAACAGTTTACACAGTTGACTTGGGTTGCATTCAAAATAAGTTAAAAGTGAAACCCACCTGAACCAGTTGAATGAGGTACTGTGAGAGTTTGTCATCAGTTAGGTATTTCTCAAGGCACTTTACGGCAAACTCTCGGATCATAGGATCAGGGAAGTTGCAATCCAGCAACTCCATGGCTTGTTCTGGCTTGATAGCAGGCCAGTCCTTCAGAAGGCAATACATCTGAAATGCAAAGAAACATACTTAGAGATCTTTTTGTTTTTTTGCATTCTTGCAGTTTTAAACAATGCATGAGACAGTGTTTAAGTCTGCAGTATCTGTTATTTAATCAGCTGAGCTTTTGCATTAACAAGTAAGTAAGGCACGTATCCATTTCACACCAGATGTCCTTCAAAATAAAGGCATGTCAGCAGTAGAAACATGAGATTACCTGTGCGATCTCATCTCTGGAGTTCCATTTCACAGCCAGGAGGATCTTGGGAAGGATCTCTGGCATGTTGACACAGTCTTGTCTAAAATAATAACAGAATAAAATAGTTTAAACCTTTATGACAACAGGGTCAGTGCCACGGGATTACTTGTGTGTAAATGTAATGGTTACACATTACACACTACCTGTGCCTCCATAGAAAGTCTTTCTCCTGCTCAGTTATTTCAGAAAGCGGGTCCCTGTTGCACACCAGACGTAGCTGCTCATTGTCGGTGTCGGTCAGGGGGTTGTCACGCGCCAGTCTGTTACTCTATGACAGAGAAAAGACAGGTTAGAAATTAAACTGAACCATAAAATACAACCAAACAAACAAAACCCCATTTTAATGAAATGCTTAATATCTTACCAAACCGGTGTGGCAATAATTAAAGCCAAGCTCTCTGGAGATATTCCAGTTAGCATGATCTTCGATGATGGTCATATCAGGGTACTTCACGGGGCAACTGAAATGATCAAACTCCAGCTCCAGACAAGGGGTTTCCTGCATGTTTAGAAAGTAAAGGGAGGGGAACTTACTGTTATCAAAGAGAGAAGCCTGAGTGATTATTAAGAGGTATAAGACGATCATTTATTAAACCCAGGCAGCTTAAAGTGTGGCTCTGGAACTCTACATGTTGTCACCTACTGGATTAGAACCGCTTCATGGCGCTTAGAGGTCAAAGGAAAAGGCAATAACTACATTTGATAAAGCTTAACATTTTCAGGAGAAGATGACATTATGTGCCATTTACTTTGATCTTGTCATTTGTTTCTAAAGTCTTATCTTTTTAAAATATTGTGGTTTATGTATATTATTGTATATAATTCTAATATGTACTTCATACACCGTACATTGTTATGCTTTGCTTTAAGGATAATGAACGATTCCATTTGTCCTGTAAAACATTTACACATGAATATATGGAACTTCTCGAAGCATAAACAAAAAGGTGTGAGTCAGAGTTATGTTGATGGTGTTGACATTTGTTGTTCACCTTGTTTGGATTAGATCCTGTGACGCCGATAGGGTTGAGCAGGTCCTCCAGACCGTGTGGAACAGGCCATAGATTGAGAGCCATCTTCCCTGCTACCAGTGTGTGGGTGTAGTCAAACAGGTTGATGTTGCCCCAGGCGAGGGGACAGTGCTCCTACAGGAAAATACCAAGATGATGATGCATGTGAAAATCATTAGAGCAAACAGCCTGGGGCAACGAAACAGACAGGTGCAGAGCAGAACAAAGGGAAGGTGTTTGTTTTCCATGCCTACATTAACCGACCTTGTGGATGCTTTCGTTTCTATAACAGATAAAGTTAGTATACATTTGAAAAGAGTTTGAATGATATTTAACGGTGTGCTCGCTAACATTTCCAGGACATCAAAGCCCACTTTTTCACACAAAAACCATGCAATGTTTTTTCCATTTTGCAATCACAGCTCTATACAGTAATTGCAATTGTTAGTGGTGGAGTCCGCCTTCACGTTCACACAACGGATTCAGGAAAAATGATGACTTGTGTAAACCAGAGTAACAAAAAACAGCATTTTCTTTTTTGTCTGCTTCACAATAAGTGTTCAACTTGTGGCTATTATAGTGAAGCAGGCAAAGGAAAGAAATGTGTGCGTCGCTAAGGTTAATGCTGACAGTGACAGTTTATGAAAAATGTGTCTACAAAACCAGACATGGTCATTTATGCTACTTTTCTATTGTAAGGATTAATGAAACAAGAGGGAGCAGCCACAATGAGTTGCTGGAGGCTGCACATCTCCAACTCCTAGGCCACATATCCATTTCTTTTCACGCTAGCTTTCTGTTGTGTAGAAATCTGCTTGCACAATGAGCACCACTATATCAGATAATAATATCTCAGGGCATGGTGGAAGAGGGTCAATTATTTGTCCCGTTTCCATCATCTAAATTTGATAAGACTTCTTTATTCAAACAAAGCTACTTTGTTTCCTGAACTGTAAACAGACACAGCACTTGTTGTTATGATATATTTCTGCTAAACTTGTGACTCAAGAAGTATTTACTGTGGTACTGAATTTTGTTAACACCAAAGTCAAATTAACCAAGAATTAAAGGTTCAATATTTTCATTTCTGCCTTTGCGAAATGTATTTTCTTTTTTTTTCATTTTTATTTGTGGCAAGCTACTTTTTTACTGTGCAATATCATGATCTGCTGGGAACACTTTGTATTCATACACTGTCTCTTAAATTCCATGTTTGTTGCTGTGGATGTCTGCCTGTATGTCTGTTCACTTGAACCATTTCTCATGTCGTTATACAGTTTCATTAACTTTAATGTAACTTTCTAGCGTTACACTGCTAACCTCTTTAGCTCCCTTCCTTCCTTTCACCGAGCAGATGGAGAGGCAGAGCCGGGCGGCTCGTGGGATGTCTGGAATGTACATGTCGTAGTTCAGCCACTCATTCCACCTGGAGCAAACACAGAAAGTATCATTTAAAACCAATCGCATTAACCGTCCTAAAGTCGAGGGAATTCCCAAAGTATGCGAGACTACCTTGGATTAGAGCAGGGCACACGCTGGGTGTTGACGTTGTCACACAACTGCTCTCCACCGGTGGTATATCCCAGTCCTGACGTAGATCTACATAAAAACCCCAAAAACAACAAATATTGTACTTAATCACATTTTAAATCAATCTATTATTGCATTTCTGACTGCACGATGTGACGGACAACATGCACTTATCCTGCATGGAATGAGGAAATTCTCCAGTGCACACTATCATTGTAGATTATTGTGATGACAAAATAAAAATCGCTGAGGTGTGCATATTAGGTATTGCTTCACAATCCCAATGACTTGCTGATGATCAACATGTTTTTGACAGTAACTGTTTCTGAACTCAGTTGTTTTTTTAACAAAAGTAATTCCACATTGCAGAACTGCTTTTTTTTCCTCCACAAATTATTCATCATTCATAGTGTCCTCGATCTTGTCTCCCTCCTGAGCCATCAAGTAATCCAACCCTGCAATAGCCAGCGAATTGATATCAATTCATCTGAGGTTAGCTGATGGGTAACTGTGGTTTCATCTGATTGGCCACATGATGTGAACGCATAGATCAAGTATGAAAGACAAGCTGAATTCAAAGGCTTGTGCATATAAGTACATTAAGGAAAGATGACAATGCATTGTATTGCAGAGTCCTATTGTGCACCATCATCCTTGTACCTCTACGTTTTTTGGAGAAGTGTGATCACAGTCAGAATTTATTTTCGTACAACTAGAACAAAGCACAGGATAAGTCCACTCAGTTGTACTGAATGTGTACCTTGTCAATATCTCTGATGTTGACATTGACGTAAGTAGCGCACAGTATCCTGATCCTCAGTGTTCCGTTGATGGTCCACAAAGACTTTGTGGCTGTTTCCCCGTTCATGTAGGGCGTTGCTGTGGATATTCGCCTTGCATAGGACGGCATGGTGAAGTTGTCCATGGGCAGCTGGGAATACAGGCTGTCTTTGGCCATTAGCATCAAGTTGGGCATCCGTCCCAGCATGATACAGCTGCGCACATACTGTTGAGGACAAAGTGACATTTAGGGGTATTTGTAATGCCTGACATTTTGAAGCACATAATTCAAAACATTTACAACATGTAACAAATTAGATTTAAAAAAATAACAGCACAGCGGTAACTGAAACTTGAGTGCTTGAGTGATGCATTCGGTCGATTGAATCAGCATCATTTTACAGGCGGCACATTTTGTAATAAATGTAATTCTTTGTAATGAATGCCAAGCAAATCTGTGTTGGATGATAATTTGATGTGAAGTGAATCTCTTCTCCTCTAAGCACAATAGCATCCGATGCAGCAGACCTGAGATTAAATTAGATTACCTTGTACTGACTCAGAGGGTATTTCTCCAGTAAGTACTCGTCACAGCCGCATACTTTGAGGATGTACTTTCCCTGATACTCCTGCACACACATCTTTAGCTGCTCCTGGGAGAGCAGCATGCTGCGCGTCTTTTTACGAATGGCTTCGGCTATCACCTGCTCCGGTACATAGTCGTGGTTGATCTTCAGGGTGTACTTCTGCTTGTCATTGCTGGGTGACACAATAACCCATATGACCACTATGATTTGACCTGAGGGAAAGATAAGAAAAAAGAAAAAAAGAAATTAAGAAATATGTGATCAGTTGTACACAAAACAAAGACCGCACAGAAGTTGTTGTAGATGTTGGATTGTATATTGAGGACATTATTACAGTGAACTAGCTGCTCAGTGTCCAATCTCTTACCTTTGTCCAGCTTGTTATAGATGTGCCGGGGAAGTTCAACAGAAGATTCTACATTGGGAGGATACACGTACAAAGCTCTACTGTGGGGCCCGTTACTGTCTCGGAGGTCCACAGCCTCTTTACATACATTTAAAATGTTCCTTCTGAAGTCCTGCACTTCTGGGTCTTTCACCAAATCAAACTCACAAATGGGCATTCCAATCGCAAAACCTGAAAGTGATAACAAGCGCTAGATTAAAAGTGTTGTGTTGTTGTTTTTGCGCATTTCACGACAGCCTCTGCATACTACAGCGCAACACACAAGGCAATACAAACAACAGGTTAACTCTCCTCTTTGTGGGAAAGGTAATTGGAAAGGCCAACACTTGCTACAGTACATTATCAAAACTGACAGTATGTTTGTAACTGCGAAATAATCCAAGACAAATACCTATCTCTCTGTTGAGGATCTTCTCTTCTCTGTTGCCTACTGGCTCGATTACTTTAAGAAAAGCCTGAAAGAGCCTGAGATCGCACAACCTCCTGGTCTCATCATAAAACTCCTCTCGCTCTGCCTCTTGAGTGACACTGACAAAGATGTAGGAGCTCTCCTCCTGCAGCAGATGGTATAGAGGGTACTTCCTGGCCTCTTTGAAAAGCTCATGCTTGACTGTGATCAGTGTGGCCTCCCGGAGGCACTCCAACGTGAGAATCATGCCATTTGGCAGAAGGCAGTCCACGAGGATGCTAGGGGGCATCAAGTGCATCCCCCATAGTTCTCCTGAGGAGGGCCTGGGAGGCATGGTCGTGCCTGCAAATCCGCTCTTTTCAGAGCCTGCTAATTATCAGATGAGCGATGTCAACCAACTGTGAGGAAGAAGCAAACAGGATTATATAAGAATCACTGACCTGTGCACAATAATGCAAAAAGGCTTGTGGTAAATATTCATGGATGAGAATTGCATAGTGACATCATATAGAAATGCTTCCTATGCAAATGAATTGTTAAATTAAAATATGATTAAATTGAGCACATCACACTGGAATACCTTTAACTCTACTGTATATAGTTTTCAGATTACCACACATGAACATAATGAGGTCAACTTCAAAAGAAAGGTGACAACAACACATTCATGACAACAATGATATCTTTAACGACACAGACTGGAGTTACCAAAGCTGTCACTTTGTTGTTTATCTATTAACTTAGACCACAGGTGCAATAAGAAACCTCTTTAATAATAAAAAAGACTTACACATGATATTAAAATAACTCTCACAGAAATGAACTTATAAACGTCCAGTTATATCGATTTAAAGGACTTTAATAATCATGTTAGCACAGAACAAAAACAAAAACATTAGTCATTGAGAGTCAGCTGTTGTTCTCTTAGCCTCGCTCAGTTTCCTCTTTTGTTGTTTTGTGTGTTAACGTAAGGTGTTTGTTCCTTAGCTAGCTAGCTTATCAAGCTAGTCAAGTTCACTAAGCAAACCAATGTCATTTATTTTATAAAACTATCGACTGATACACAAGCACAATGTGAATACTACAATAAGAGGGTGACGTCCTGCAGTTTATTGCATGATAAACGTGGCATTGTTTCCGGCTAAGAGTCTACACCAACACACAAAAACAAATGTAAAGCTACCTGTGTCAGACAGCTAAAGCCACCCGGTTAGCCGTGGAGCTAATCAGCACAACCATTAGCAGCGGCTAGCTGAGGAAGTCTCCTCCGTGCCCGCTCGGAGAGTCTCAAGCAGCGGCGCTATCCATCCAAACAAAGATCCTGTAGGGTCATGCAGACCCGCTTCACTGACGTAAAGACGCCCCTATCTCCCAATGCGGTTGTCAATGAGTTGTAGCGGAATACGTAGATAATACTTCATGATGTTCTTCATCGTGCTGCCCCGAAAATAAACTGCACACTTTGGTAGCACGCTAGCTCCACACGGCTAGCCTGCTCGAAGGCTGCTAGCAGGCTCATCATCATGGATGGACCGCCCTCCCACACAGTGAGTGAGTGAGTTAGCTGGTGGGGAGCAGCCTGTCATGAGATGAGAGTGGGGTGTTTAGGGGAAACAACCTTGTTCACCGAAAAAACCACCGAAAAAACCACCGAAAAACACGAGGGGAACTGTCAGAGTTGTTGTTTTGTTGCTGCGGTCAGTCAGTCAGTCACATGCAGAGCCCACAGCTCTCTGCAGCATGTGTGTAGATGGAAGGACCCTTAGAGAAAACTTATTCCTGAGCCACTATTCATAACTTCTACTACACTTAAGTGTTTTATTGCATCCAACTGGGATGTTATAATTTCCCCACTGGTTATTTAATAAAACTACTACACAGTTTCAACTGAGTTTAGTGGGACTAGTCGTTGCAGAGAAACATCTGCACACCCATCCTTGTGCAAACAGTCACCTATAGGTCAGGTATATTCTCCAAATATCAGAGCTGCCATGAACAGATCACAGCTGATTAGGAAGTGTTCATGTAGGCCAGGGATGGGGCAACTTTGGTCACAGCAAGGGCCACGTTCATTTAATTCTCACTGCCAGAGGGGCCACATTGTAGGATACAAAAACGATAACAGTCAATTATGTCTCAAATTTAACTCAACATATACCGGAGATCAAATATTATTATGGACATATTTCTGGTTTTCATGAATTCATGGCAGATTTTGTCTTGTTTTCTTCATGTTTTGATGTGTAAAAATTGACCTGAGGGTTGACGAGGGCCGCATGTGGCCCTCGGGCCGCCAGTTGCCCACCCCTGATGTAGGCATAGAAGAAGATTGAAACTTTTTAAACTCATTTCTTTCTTAATTGTAGGCAAACAATAATAAAAAAGAAGAAAATGCAGCAAGGAGTGTGCGATCTCAAGCAAGTCTTTTAGCTACAAGTTCACAGTGTGACAAAAAAAACATTTTGTGATGTCAGTACAATGACAATGACAATGACAGAATTACATCTTCATTTTTTTTTTATTCACAAGATATCCTTGAGTTTTATACATTCATTTTGGGGATGAATAGTGTAATTTTTGTAATTTATTTCAAGGATAGCCCCTTAAGATGCATCATCTCATTTTCAAGGGGGTCCTTACAAAACATAGATTAATCACCATAATACAAAATGAAAATAAAAAGTAAATCCAAAACATAAAACCAAACATTTAAACACAGAGACACAAACACCACACACACACTCACAGTCACTCACACTTAATGCTCCCCCAAGCCTAGCCACCCACCATCCAGCCAATATTACACAATCAGAAAAAATCTGAAGAAAGAAAGGAAAACCTCTGCAATAACATACATGTAAAGGTAGAAGTAGAGCTGTGTACACCCATGCACACATAGGCACCATGTAAATGCATATACATGTACATATACATGCATACACACTATACAGTACATACACACATAGTGTACGCAACATTAAGGCACAAGGTACAGCACAGTACATACATTTAGATATGATGTACACGAGCGCAAGCAAGAGGAGAGCAAGTCCAGACAAACTAAGTCCAGTGAATAGTCAATATCCATGCCAATAGAATTTGAGATTTTAGAACCATAAGTCCTTTTTACTTCAACTTTGCTTTAAAAGCCTTGCATGTGTTGTTGTTTTTTATTCCAGGCATACATTGTTTCATAACCTGTTCACAAATTAGATTTTTTCAAGGAAGGTGCACACTAGTTGAATACTAGGTCTGCATGTGTTCATCGTGTTAGAATGAGATCCATTTTTGTGAGCATCTTAATGGATCGATCAATCAATCAGTCATGCCAGGTTCTGAGTACCTCATGTTAGATTGTGGAAGACATTTTATTAGGAGATCCTAGCACATTATTTGGTCACTGAGATAGTGAAAAGGAAAAGTTATTGCTTCAAAAACAGTCAAATAGGTTTGAAAGGTTCTCAAAATGGGATGCATCAATTAAAACAGGTAGCAATATTTTCCTTGATCCATATGAGCATGGGTTTGTTTAACATTTGTAACAATGGTTACAGTTGTGACACCATCCAGTCGTAGTTTTCCCTGTATAACTGCATGTTATGTGTGCCAGTTTTCAAACATTCAGTTTAATATTACAAAACAGTCAAATCCTTGATCCTGAGTGAGCATCAGCTGATCATAATGTCTCAACTGAAGAGGAAAGTTTGCAAGAGGTCACGGCGAGCTCGTTTTTACTCCAAACATTCCTCTCATGATGTATGCCCATCACCAAATTCTCTTCTTAAAATATGTAAAGCTGCTGTACGTATTTCACCTCTTTATCTTTCCTATCTCTTCACATAGCCTGGAGAGGTACTGAGTGAGCTTCACCATGACGATGATGAGGGCCCCTCCCATCAGCATGCAGGAGGGCCACAGCAGCGAGTGGAAGACAACACTGTGATCGTACAGCCGTGTGAGGAGGACGGTGTCCTGCTGCTCACTGGGGTCGTAGAAACACGGGACCTGCTGGTGCACCTTCAGGCGCTCTGAGATGTTCATGATAATGACGTGCATGGCAGCGCTGTCCTTTTGACACCTCGGCACGTAGAAACACTGCAAGGACAGGCCAAGGTCACAGAGGTCATTTAGGGGTCATTCATTAAGAGTCGGGAAAATGGATACAGCACACTATGACAATATCTTATCAGGCAATAATGTTATAATTGATACTACTATTTTGCGCAAACAGGACTGCCAAAAATAGACTGCGATGTTCTAATTGAGATCATAATGCAACTCAAATGCTACACACATGTTTACAATTAACTTGTAATATTTTTTTTTTCTGTGGGCACGTTCTTTCTCTAAAGTATTACTTGATTTCTCTTTCCTTTGCTTCCCGACTCTTGAGCTGCAAAAAAAAAGGAATTTCCTACATTGGGGAGTGCAGAATGTTTATCTCATCTTATCTCACACAGTTTCAAAGTTTTATGATACAAATTGCATCAGTGATACAAAAGGGTAATGTTAAAAACACATTATAAAATGTTTGTACAAGAAACAGGTTAGCAGGGATTCCTATGAAATAAGTGGAAACAAAAATGGATATTATTTATTTTTAAATTTTTGGGTTTTTGCCTTTATTTATATATTTATTTTATTATTATCTGTTTATTTAACAGGAACACATGCGATGAACATTGTTTCATGTGTAAAATACAAAGTAGATGCCATGCATACAGGTTACTAGCCGTGGCTGATTTGCAGCCCCTGTCCCTGGGAATATGATACATTTGATAGGACAGAGAGTAGGAAACCAGGGAGAGCGAGTGGGGAAGGACATGCAGGAAAAAAGCCGCAGACTGGACTTGAACCCAGGCCGCCCACTTAAAAGGCCTATAGCCTCTGTACATAGGGCGCAATCTAACCGCTAGGCCATCAAATGTTACTCTTTACTGTATATTTCTTTAAGTTGCTGAAGAGGTTGCTCTACATCGTCAAAGTCTTACTTCTGGACTTTGAAGATGTAGAGCTGTAGATCACATTTTGCTATTACAAAAATAAGATAAACAGACGTGGTATTGTATCTTTTTAGGTAGGACTGATGTTAAAATATGACTGTTAGCTTTAGGATAGGATTGTTTGCTTGTTACAGCAGCTCCAGAGTCAGAGTAATGGAAAGAGTAATCGCTCAATAAATTACAGATTAAGATAAAAAAACAACAAAGATTCAATTCTAATCAATAAAAACGATAATAATGAAACCATGTAACTGATGGTTTAAGATTAGGATGGATGATAGTATATGACAGCATGGAAAATGACTGTATACTACAAATGATTTCTAGTATTTTCATAAAGTCACAGTGTAATAAATTCAGAATTTTTAAATTTTTCTCTAGGGCGACAATTTGTAGTTCAAAAGAGATGAAAATTGCAGTATATGATGTCACAGTTCTCAGCATAAAGTCAATATTAAAAATTGCAATAGTATTGTATCATAGTTTGGTGAAAGCATTGTAAGGTCAGGTGTGTGGTTTGTTTCCACAATAAGTAATCTTTCCCTTTTGTGTCTTCTATGTCATCGTACTCTTCACCCGTTATGTTTAAACCCTCGTCTTTAACAGGACAAATTCAAAGTCCTATCCGCTCTCATTTCCTGAATTGTTTGCAGTGTAAATCTATAATCAGGCCAGCATCTGATAGCTGTTGTCAACATTTGAAACGGTTCAGTAATTCTCAGTGTTTTCCCTCTGGCACTCACTTCAGAGCTGATGTCCTGCATCTCTTCGTTGTGAGATAAGCGGCTGACGCGGCTCGTGTTGTTGACATTCACGAAGACCTGCAGACACGGGTATTTGGAGACCCTCCAGCAGTCTGACCCACAGTTGTAGGAACAGTTCATGTCCGCTGTGACCGTGGAGTTGACTACAACACACACACCCTCTTCTGTCCACACACTGTGATGACATTCAAATGAAGATTGAATTGAATGCAGAAAAGCAGCAAACATTTCAGAGGTGTGAAATCAACTTGGCTGGAATGTCATTTCATAGTGTTTAGTATTTTGCAATTTTCACATTGAGGGAGCACAGAAGCAGTTTTCCAACATGCACATCTGATGGATAAAACGTGAGACAGATATATCAGTTTACTCTGTTATAGGGAAGTCTGTACCTGTCTGCATAGGAGCGTAATATTGTAACCCCGAGGACAAAATACATCATGACTGAAGAGAGAATCATTCCCAGTCCGAGGAAGATTGCCCGATCTTCACCTGGCTTCAGAGCTGTCACTGTTTTCTTTTTATCCAATAAATCCACATTACGGAATTTCTGATAGATTGACCTAAATGGTGCAAATGAGAGACAGTCAATATTTTATTTTGAAAAGCTACTGCACACATAAATAAGAACTCAAAGTGCCGTGACAGCTTAAAGGCTCTCCCCCTCACCAACACTGCAGTTTGAGTCATAAAAATGGCAACACGGAGCTACAAGAAATGCATCACCAAACAACAACTACAGAGAAACAAAAACATAGAGATGTGAAACAACTTTAAAGAAATGTTCAACTGACAAAATAATAAAAATGATCACTAAACATAAAACAACAAGAGAGACACAAACAACAACAGGTGATGTGAAAGAGAAAACACTCACCCAAAATGAACACAGACGTAAAAAGACAAAAGACAAAGAGGTAAGGGATGCAAAAAACTTCAGACGCACAAACAGCTACAAAGTAACAAAACAAGTAGAACAGATTTGAAACAAAAAGTACCTAAGCAACACAAAATGGACACAGAGGTGCAAAACAATCACAAAGAACATTAAAAGGGGATGCAAAACAACTTCAAAGACATACAAAACATCTACAAAGTAATCCCCCCCTCCCCCCCAACAAATCGATCAAATAGAAAATGCAAAGATAAAACTAGACACATAAAAGTCTTTGTGTCACTTGTGCGTCTTTCAGTCTGGAAGATTCTGGGGAGCCTTTTCATGTCTGTTCTTAAAGGCCCATGGTGTCTTATGTTCCCATCATCCAATCAATAAAAAGCGTTGAATCAAAAGAAAAGTTATCCCAGGACACTTTAAGAGCTGACTGATCAGATTTTTATAAAGCCTGACTCAGAATGACCCTGTTACCTCCTTTCACCTCCTCCACCCGATCTGCCTGTGTTTTTGGCACCTGCCACAAAGAACATCTTTCCCGATGACCCGCGTCCTCCTTTCCTCGCTGACGCAGGGCGGAAAGATTGCTGAAAAGACCTGTGAATTATAGCCCATTTTATGTTTCGCTGTTTTACACCAACACACAGTTTTACCACCAAGACCATAAACATTTAGAGAATCCCAAGTTATTTGCAAATGACAAATCTTACAGTACCTTTGGTGCATATTTGCAGTCAAACTCTATACGTAAAAAAAACTAAAAAAAAGACCCATTGATTAAATATCTCTCCCAATCTCCCTGAAACAGCAGCTTGTGATTTCCAGAGTATTCTGCAGTGTTGGGACAGGAAGCAGCCCTGATATAGTGGACTCCCTCTACCAGGTAAACATCTCATTTTGAACACAAAGAAACTGTACAAAGGGTCAACAAGATGACAAATAGCCACGGATGAAAGGTGTGAATGCTGATGTGAAAAACCTACCTGCTATTTCCTCAACACTTGTGCTGTCAACACAAAGTCATTGGCTCCTCTCAGGACAACAACACCTTGCATGTACCTCCTCTTCGCTCTCTTCCAAGTCCTACAGTTAGCAGAAAACACAACATTCAATGCTACACATGCAGCTCTGGCCCCATAAATGTCATTAGCCTTGATTCAGATGCAAATGCATGAGGCTGGTGAGACGTTTTGAGTTATTTGTTCTGGGGTTACCCAGGGGTGAGCCGGGAGCTGAGGGTCGATGCAAACCCACTCTGATGATTGCCTGACATTTGTTTTGAAATACAGTTTTGAACAGATGTATTTACATGGGCACATATTTAGTTATGAGGGGTCATTTGCTCCTATAAAGCAGTAATGTAAAAATCGAAAGTGTAATCCATCATGAGTCTGAATCCTATAAGAAATATCATTCAATCAAGTGATGATCAATTATTAAATCATGTTTTTCTTTTACTCCTTTTCAGATGCAAAATAACTATCACTTAATGAATCAGATTTGATCTCTGTAAGCATCATCATCCATCATGGATACCAGTATCTGTAAAGGCCTCTAATACAGCCTTAAATCTGGTATCGCTGATTTTGTCAGTCAACACGTCAATATATGTGCTGTTGTGATCCAACAAACAATGAGCCCCACTTTTTTTTAAGTAATTATCAAAAATTTGACAATGATAAACAACATTGGTGATGTGCTAGAAACTAGTGTAATGTTAGAGTTCACCCAATGCCAACAACCAGTGTTTCCCACCAATATCACGATGTCGTTGTGTTTTGGAATTACTATCCTGAAAGAACAATGGTAAGGGAACATTTCTTATGTTGATGGACCAAATGTAAGTACAATAAGCAGGCTGTTTTTGTATTATGACACATGTCAACCTTGCCAAAGAGCAAGGAACAGAAACGGAAAATAAGTTCCTCTCGGATGAGTAATTTCCTCATTGTATCACATTCCCAGCTGCTCAGGGGAAACTCTGCTGAGAGACGCCCCCAGAGTGACAACAAAATCAGCAGGAAACCAAAAATGTTATCTTAGTTATTCTCCTCTCAAAGCACTTCACACATTTCTGCATGCAACAGCGAGGGACACTTACATGAATGTAATGATCTGTCTTTACAACTTTTATCTCCCCTAAAAGCACACTGACCATTGATCCTCGAGTGCCTAAAATTCCACACAGAACTGTATTGATTTCAGCTAAACGCGGATGCTCACACTTTCAGAAAGACAGCCTTACTACTTATTTCTTTATAGTCAGGAGTTTGAAGGGTTTTGAGAGCAGTGTATTCTATACTGCTGGGCCTCATGCTGCATGTAGGCTGGACTTACCAAGGGCAGGTGAAGGGAGGGAGGATCATGCTGTTAAGTCTGACTTTGCAGGGCCTTCAGCGTTACCTTCAAATTAGGGAAATAAACTAAAAATGTAAATCAAATATGAACGATATAAGATTCCCTCCCTTCCAAATCGTTACAGTCAGTGTTTCTGTACTTTTATAGAACTAAACCCCTAAAAATGTGTAATTTTGCTTCAGTTTTTCAAACTCTATCCAAAGTAAAGCTACAGTGTAGGAAGAAATCCTCTATGACAATCCCTTATGGTACTTAATAATTTAACTTTAGATACATTTGTGTCCTTTTTTTCTGCTTATTTAAAAAAGGTACTGAGTCTGCAGCGTCACATCATGATGCACTGGAGGGAGACAGACTTTGTAGGTGTGTACATGCACGTGTGGAGGTGCTCTAAAGCTCTACTCCAGCAGAAACGTGTTGTTCACATTTTCCTATTACTGTAACAGTTTAATGAACTACATCTCTGAAGGCAGATAGAGCCAGCAGACCTGACTGCATATTCTCTATGGATGCGTCCTTGGTTTATATTTTCTTCCAGCTGCTTCTTTGTCAATTGTAAGACTCAAAATGTGACTGAAAGAGTGATTAAAAAGAATTAAATGGCATGTGGAATATGACTTAGCTAAAAAGCATCAAGTAATGCAACACACCCAAAAAATGACTACAAAGCCACACAAAGCAAACCAAAAGAAATGTTCAAATATTTCATAGAAATGTTGAATACAAAGAGAATAGATAATAGACATAAAGGACATAAAACAACAAGGAGTAACAATAAAAACCAAAAAGTCATAATGAGATGCAAAACAGGCTTGTTATTTTAATTAGCTTTGTGGCTTTTTGTGTGTCCTCCAGCATAGGTGTTTGTTTGTGTGTGTTTGTGTGTGTGTGTGTGTGTGTGTGTGTGTGTGTGTGTGTGTGTGTGTGTGTGTGCGTGTGTGAGAGAGAGAGAGAGGGCGTCAAGGGGCCCATTGTCACACAATCCATTCATGTTCCTAAAGAGTATTTGTAATAACCTTTTGAATTTCATTGAGGCCATACTGCGTGTTCGTCATAGAGACTGGAGGTCTGAGGGAGCTACTTCGATCCTGAAAATGTTGCATTAGCAGGTGTTTTCTCACCTTGTGTGCTTAGCTGCACCAAAGGAATTCAAAGCCTGGGCCTGTTATCAACACGCTCTTTAATGAAGAATGTCTCAGCATGTATTTTTTGCCTTGTCCTTCCAGTGATTATTGCCTCCCTGTCAGGTGTTCCATAGTGTTTGGCGCCTTTAAAGAGTCACATGTGCCACTTGACAGCCCCGCACAGACGTACAACAGAGCAGTTAACACTCACCTGAGGTGTGCACACAACAGCAACTGCACTGTGAAAGTAAAAGCCTTTATAAAAGGCATGTCTCAAGCATACTGTACATACAGTCAATGCTGTGGGCACAATGTCAAAACCCAGTCATCCATTTAGAATTGAATTAGGAGTCTTTTGTGGTTGTTTACTTTGTTGTCATTATACAGTTAAAACTCGTCAAGGCAGTTGATAAAAAAGGGGTTGTAAACAGATGAATTTCCAAAGCTGCTTGATAATGCAAATCAAGATGCCCATTGCAACTCGATAAACTTCACATGCATTAGTTAAATAATTCTTTTGTATCCCAGCTATGTGCTGTTTGTTGACCCTCAATCATGGGCTGCATCCTCTTGAAGCACATGGCCTGCTGTCTCAGTGTTACCTCGTTGGTGTCTGTCATAATCTCTTGTCTTTGCATTTCCAAATTACAATAAGCCCCCAGCTTCTGTGTGAGACTAGTGTGATCTGACTTGAAATAACAGAGGCAATAAGAAGGATGTGTGGGGTCTTACCTCTTGTAGTGCTGTTGTTATGATAATCCAGACTTTGGGCTACAACTGTCAGCAGCCCTCCAGCATGGCCTGAGCTCCCAGAGAAAGCAACTGGTCACCTCTTATTTAAACCCCAAACCCCAACTGAACAGAATGCCTGTCATACCTGTGTCAGTAATATGAGTTCCCTGTACAATGTCGTCATGCTTAAAATGGGTTAGTCCAGCACAATGAATTTCCACTGTGCCTCCAAATAACCGTGTGTGACAGGCTCCGCTGGGGGCCCGGCGCTATGTTAGTAGCAGGCACTGCTGCATGTCCAGGAATTCAGGAGCAGTTATTTCAACCCCCCAGCCCTCCTTTTCCATGTTACAAATGTACTGTATGTTTAAAGGCTACTTGAAGGCCGCCGCTGAAGACAGTGTGAGTTAACTATGCCTCCTCTTGCCACAAGGTGTCTCTGTAACCTCAGAAACTGTAGAAAGATAGAGGAGGTTCCCATTTACTGGTTAATTACAACAGTTCAAACGGAAAACCTGAAAATTATTTGTATTGATTTTTCTGATGCAGGTTTTTTTTTAAACTGGTATACAGGTATCTAAACTGGCGATTAAGCCATTGAATTAAATGGGAAATATAACTGATGTGACATTTACCATTCGGAGCACGAAGTAATATTGTTTTACTTTCTACAATGTGCTACAGAATAATTTATTTATATTGTTGGAACATACTTTTTTCTAGTTTTTATATCATATTTAACAATAAGAATTATTTCATATTTCATATTACTAACTCCACAGTAGAATCAAAGGTAAGAACACTAGATTAAAATGATGAGAAGAATATTCTGCTTCGCCTGTATAGATATTTCTTAAATGTAGCACGTGGCATATCTATATGTAGTTACAGTAAAGGGAGTGAAGTATTATCACATACAGTTTAATAAGTTTAGTATCTTTGGAAACTTCCTGCTGTGGTTTCTTTTCATATTGTGAAAGGCGTCACTTCATGGATAAAAAGTGAGCTCAATCAAAGATGTAGAATACAGCTGTCCTTCAAAATAAAATTCCAAAGATTTTTTTTTATTTTTCAGAATTCTGATCTATAGACTATGACAATGTGTTAATACAGGCCATGATTTACAGGACAACACTGTGTGATTTTATGACATGATCATATGAGATATTGAATGTCCGTATAGGGATACAACAACATATAGTGCTAATATGTACCAACTTGCACATGAAAATCAACAACTTTTGATAGCATTAACATATTGCACAACCCTAAGGGCCAACATCCCACATTACCAGCTGGTGATAATCTATATGGACACA